TATTTTCTCCACGCTGTCCCCCCTCCTCACTCTCTGTGGGAAGACATTCCTCCCGAATTCCCCACTGAATTTGTTTGCAACTCTTCTTTTGACGGCCCCTCATTCCAGCACCCCCCGCCCCACTTCCCTGCCACAAGTGGTAACATCTTCTCTACATCTTCCTGAACGAAAACCCTTCCAGAATTGTAAAAACTTCAATCAGGTCATCGCCTCAGCCACCTCCTTTTGAGACAAAAGTGCCTCAGACTGTTTGTGTCATCATAGCTTTATGCTTTTTTAACTTGTGCAAACTGGAACGAGTTAGCAGATCATTTCTCTGCCGTACAGCTTTCTGAAAAGAGCGATCACAACATCACTGTTCTGGACTGATTGAGAGGATTATTCAAACCTCTGGCCTCAAATCGAATGAGGAAAAAGTAGTGCACACTATAGGGGAGTGAAATATTTCTGGGGTCTTGGGATATTAAGTTAAAAACTGCAGACAGAGGGTCAGCGCCGAGGGAGTGCCGCGCTGCTGGAGGGTCACACTTGCTGTGCTGAAAATCTCGATTTAAATGAAACGCTGATTTTTTTTTAACCCTTTTACAGGGCAGTTTTACGTCATGATGACCCCACAGGACGTCTTGCAGACAGGAGCACAGCGAACAATTGCCCCTCGGACACACCCGTACTCTCCGTAAGTGCTGGGGTTGGTGTTTCGTGGGTTGGGAGGGATTGTGGTTCAGGCTTGCCATGGATTTTGCTGACAGTCCCCACTTTGTGAACACCAGGTCTCTTCACTGTACACCACCTCTCTCCCCCCTCCCTCTCTGTCCCCCGACCCCCTGCAGAGTGTTATCGCCATCTGGTGTCCGCTACACTACACTGCAGCGGGTACCTTGCCAAATCCTGCACTCCGAAGGCAACCTTTTCCCACCCACTGCACCCCACGCCAAAACCCCAACCTCCCTCTTAGCATTCAGATATTTTCACAGAGAGAGTCCTTAACCAGCTCCACTCCTCAAGCCTGTGACATAGGAACAGCATGGGACCTTTTGGCCCATTCTCATGTGTGTTAGGCAGGAATAGGAGGCCATTCAGTTCCCTCGGTGAAGCTGTTACACAGGAACAGCAGGAGGCCATTCATTTCCCTCCTCGAGCCACTTTGGCCCCAGTCTCGGGGAATGGGAATTTTCAGTTCCTGCAGCGTCCTGTTCCAAGGGGGGGGTCTTTCCCCCGTCTCGGGGAATGGAAATTTTCAGTTCCTGCGGCGTCCTGTTCCGAGGCGTTCTTTCCCCAGTCTCGGGGAATGGGAATTTTCAGTTCCTGTGGCATCCTGTTCCGAGGCGTTCTTTCCCCAGTCTCGGGGAATGGGAATTTTCCATCCCTGCAGTGGTTCATGTACTCGGAAGGCAGCAGCTGGTGGTGGGGTGGGGGGGAGGGGGTTGCAAATGGAGGGAGGGCGGGGGGGTTGGTGCTGCTTGCGCGAGAAGGCGAAGGTGGGCAGGTTCTGCCAAGACCGGGAGGGGGGGCACCGTGCTCGGTGGTGGTGGGAGGTACCATTGGGGAGCTGCTATTTGACTGTGGGAGGTGGCGCCGTGTGTTTCCATGGTGACCTGTTATTTCTCTCCACAGGAAAGAAGACCCCGACCTCAGCAACATGTACGTGATTCTTTTATGACCCCGCCCCCCCATTTTGACCCTGCTCCCCCATTATGACCCCACCCCCCCTTATACCCCCCCCCCCCCCTTATAACCCCCCCCCCAACCTGTAACCATGCCGTCAACATGTAGCCCCCCCCCTGTGGCAGTGACCCCGCCCCATTTTGTGACCACCCCCATCTCCCCTGTTCCCCTCCCTGTCAATACCACCCACCCCTTATAATGCAGCCCTGCCCATATCCCATGTGCCCGCTTCACCCTGTGCCCCCACCATATGCCACCCCCCCCAACCCATGTCACCTGTCACCCCTCTCCGGCACTCCCTCCACCCCCAAAACACCCCACCCCTTCCCTCCAAAATCCCACCCGAAGATCCCTGAGATCGGGACACGGAGGGATTGTGCAGGGCGTGATGCCTGCTGCAGCCGAACAGCAGAGTGACTGGTCCCTGCGATGGCAGGGACCATCGCAGCTGGAGTGGTTGGGGGAGGGAGCTGTGTTCCCTTCCCTTCCTCCTCACCCTGTCCTCTTCCCACAAGCCCTTCCATCCTCCATGTTGGACTGGGATGGTGGGGTGAGGGTGGAGATCCAGGAGCCTGTCCCCTGTCATAAAGTGGATACGCTGAGCTCCCACCCCTCTACCCCCCCACTGTCCTCCCTCCCATTGGCCTGGACCTTGCTGCCTCCTGCTGGCAGGATGGGAGAGGGCAGTGCTCCTGACCAGATTGAGGGAGCGATTCTCCCTGAGAGACCCCACTACCCCACCCCACCCAGGAGCTGTAACATGGGAGGGAGAGGAGGAGGGAGGGGGCTGTATGCACTGGGGCTGTATGCACTGTCGCTGTTGGCTGACTGTGTCTCACTGTTTCTCTCTCGCTCTCTGTCTCTCCCCCCCCCTCACTTCTGTCTGTCTGTCTGTCTGCCTCTCTTTCTGCCTCTGCGTCTCTCTCTGTCTCTGCCTCTGCCTCTGCCTCTGCCTCTGTCTCTCTGTCTCTCTCTGTCTCTCTTTCTCTTTCTCTCTCCCCGTCCCCACACAGGAAGATCGATGGGCCACGTACACCTCGGGATGAGAGGAGGAGAGCACAACACAATGAGGGTAGGCATCACTGATGGGTGGGGGTTGGGCATGGGGGAGCAGAGACTCCCATATATCCGACCGGAAGTGGGCAGGGGGCGGTGACCAAACTGTGCACAGCAAGCTCCCACAGATATCAATGTGACAATAACCCGCATCTCTCTCTCTCTGTCTCTCTCTCTCTCACTGTCTGGGGAAGGGATAAACATCAACATTAGCAGCCAGAGAACAGCTCCCTCAGTGCTGACCCTCCAACCAGTGCACACTCCCTCAGCGCTGACCCTCCGACAGTGCGCACTCCATCAGCGCGGGCGCTCCCTCAGCGCTGACCCTCCGACAGTGCCCAGGAACTCTCAGCTCTGAATGCTCACACTTTATACAGTCTTTATTGTGTTCTTTGGTAATTGGAGTTTGGTTGGGATGGGGCTCCTGTATCTGTATCCTGCTCAGACATTCACTCTCACGGTCACTCTCCCACTCTCTCTCTCTGTCTCTTAATCTCTCCCTCGCTGTCAATCTGACCTCATTTCTGTCTGTCCTGTTGACACTATGTTTCTGCCCTCTCTGTCTCTCTGGCGCTCTCTCCCTCTGCCTCCCTCGTGCTCTCTCCCTCTTGCGCGCTGTCTCTCTCTGCCTCCCTCACTCTTACTCTGTCTCTGTCTCACGCTGTCTCATGCTCTCTCTCTCGCTCTCTCTCTCTCATGCTCTCTCTCTCTCGGCCTCTCTCAGTGGAGCGACGGCGTCGAGACAAGATCAACAATTGGATTGTGCAGCTGTCGAAGATCATCCCAGACTGTAACGCAGACAACACCAAAACCGGCCAGGTCAGTGGGCATTGGGCAGGGGGTACAGGGAGAGGCAAGGCGCGTGGTAGCAGGGAGCCATTGTGGGCAGCACGGATTTTGCATGCTGATCTCTGACCTCTCACCTGCATGGTGAAATCACCTCGGAACGTGGGCACCACTGGTGAGGCTGGTGTTTAGGTGCCCATTCACTGACGGTTCTGGAACCGAATTACTCGCTCAGCTCTGTTTCTGTCGGGAATGGAGTCACATGTCGGCCCAGACTGACCCTCCGACAGCGCGGCGCTCCCTCGGCGCCAACCCTCCGACAGCGCGGCGCTCTGACAGTAAGGCTCACATTGCCAGTGAGTTGTTGGTGATTGAAGGGTCTGGGCTGTCTTTGTGCCAGTTCACTCTGTGACAGTGTTCCCTTTAACAGGGAGGAAGGGCTGAGGGTGAGAGCTGTCTGCTCCGTGCTGACCCAGTGCCTCTCTCTTCCTGCAGAGTAAAGGAGGAATCCTATCAAAGGCGTGTGACTATATCCGGGAACTTCGGCAGACTAACCAGCGGATGCAGGAAAGCTTCAAGGACACTGAGAGGCTGCAGCTTGACAACGAATTACTACGACAGCAGGTGAGTTTGCCTAGCGTTCACCCCATCCCTCTGGGGCTCCTAGCCTTCACCCCCACCTGCACCCGCACCTCCACCTCACTGGGCAATCGCCTATTCCTGAACTAATTCCCCACCCTCAGCGCAGTCCCTCCATGACCCCACTCTCCCTGTGTCTCCTAGTCCAGTCCGGATATTCAATCCCACCCATGCTCTCTCTGCGCACACCCCGT